GCCCTTCACTACCCGAAGGAGTCTCAGAGCGGCTTACAAACTCTTCTCCCTTCCCCTCTCCACAAGAGACACCCTGTAAGGGAGGTGGGCCTGAGAGAGCTATGACAGAAACTGCTCTTTTTCAAGAACAGCTCTTATCAGAACTGTGGCTTGCCCAAAGTCCGCGCTCCTAACCACTACACCACACTGCTACAGAGGTTACTGTGGCTGCCTTGTCTGCACAGCTTGTTGTGTGGCCCTGGGCCAGTCCCAGCAGAGGCAAAAGCAATCACCGTTTTCCTTGTAAGAACCAGACCCTCCCATCTGGGGACCTCCTCCTATGCAAGCAGTCTGAACAGGCAAAATGGATGTCATCTGGGAGCCAAGATCCAGCTGCAGACACAGGAGCGACGCCCTGCCGAGCAGAGAAAAGTCGGTCGCCCCGCCCAGCATCACAGACCTGATCTTAATCCAGTCGCCCACGTTCTGGCTCGCCATGAGGGTCTCCAAGTAGTCTCGGCCCATGTAGTAGGGAGGCCTCTCATTGATCCGCTGCGGCAGGCGTTCCATCAGGCCGGCCGGGATGTACCTGCCCAAAGCGACAGGAAGCTCAGTTAGAAGAGGGGGGCCATGCTTAAAGGACACGGGGTTGGATTCCAAAGACTCATCCCGCCAGCAACAGCGTTCTTCACAACAGCAGGGATAGTCCTCCTGTTGCCAGGGGCCCGCCCAGAACCTCTCATGTGAGGGAAGGCTCCATGAGCTGAAGGGAAGAAGAAGAGGAGATTGGATTTATACCCCAGGGCCCTTCACTACCCGAAGGTGTCTCAGAGCAGCTGACAAACTCCTTTCCCTTCCCCTCCCCACAACAGACACCCTGTGAGGTAAAAGAAGAAGAAGAGATTGGATTTATACCCCGCCCTTCACTACCCGAAGGTGTCTCAGAGCAGCTGACAAACTCCTTTCCCTTCCCCTCCCCACAACAGACACCCTGTAAGGTAAAAGAAGAAGAGATTGGATTTATACCCCGCCCTTCACTACCCGAAGGTGTCCCAGAGCAGCTGACAAACTCCTTTCCCTTCCCCTCCCCACAACAGACACCCTGTGAGGTAAAAGAAGAAGAAGAGATTGGATTTATGCCCCGCCCTTCACTACCCGAAGGTGTCTCAGAGCAGCTGACAAACTCCTTTCCCTTCCCCTCCCCACAACAGACACCCTGTGAGGTAAAAGAAGAAGAAGAGATTGGATTTATACCCCGCCCTTCACTACCCGAAGGTGTCCCAGAGCAGCTTACAAACTCCCTTCCCTTCCCCTTCCCACAACGGACACCCTGTGAGCAGTGTTCCCTCTAAGCTGAGTTAGTGTGAGCTAGCTCACAGTTTTTTAGCCTCCGGCTCACACATTTTTGTCTCCGCTCAGGAAGGATGGCTCCAAAGCAAACTGATTTATGCCATAGCCAAATTGCTCGCTCACAACTTTAATGCCAATAGCTCACAAAGCAGAATTTTTGCTCACAAGATTCCACAGCTTAGAGGGAACATTGCGTGAGGTAAGTGGGGCTGAGAGAGCTCTGACAGAAACTGCTCTTTTTTCAAGAACAGCTCTTGTCAGAACTATGGCTTGCCCAAGGTCATCCAGCCAGGTGCAAGTGGAGGAGTGGGGAATCAAACCCGGCTCTCCCAGATTAGAGTCCCCACATTTAACCACGACACCAAACTGGTGTACTGCTGCTGGAACTGATCTGCAGGATCCTACGCAACATGCTCATTTCTGAAATACATTCGTGCACAACTAAAGGTAGACCCGCAACTTGGGAATGTTCAGTCTGTAGAAGAGGAGGTTGAGAGGGGAGATGATTGCTCTCTTGAAATATCTGAAGGGCTGTCACTCAGAGGAGGGCAGGGGGCTGTTCCTCTTGGCAGCAGAGGAGAGGACTCGCAGCTCACAATCTAAATTACAGGCGGGGAGGTACTGGCTGGATCTCGGGACTTTTTTACCATAAGAGTTGTGCAACAGGGGAATCAGCTGCCTCGGGAGGTGGCAAGCTCCCCCTCCCTGGCAGTCTTGAAGCAGCGGCTGGACAAACACTTGTCAGGGATGCCCTGGGCTGATCCTGCACTGAGCAGGGGGCTGGACTAGATGTCCTGTCGGGTCCCTTCCAACTCTGTGATTCTATGATTCTACTACTGCTCTGGGGTCAATGAAGAAGAATACACATCCCATATCCTCCTCCTTGGCCACTGGCCAAACCTTTGATTGACTCACCCTCGCCTGTGTCCCCAGTGGGTGCCCCGGAGTGAATGACATCCTTCTCTTCTCCTCCATTCTATCCTCACAACCGCATTCCAGGGCAGATTACGCCGAGAGTGGGTGACCGACCTGACGTCCGCCGGGCTTCCATGGCAGTGGGGGGGGGGATTTGAACCTGGGTCTCACAGAGCCCTAGTCTGACACTTAAACCACTACGCCACACTGGCCTCTTGATGGGAGGGCTGGTCGGCCCAAAACTTCTGTCATATTGATGGGGACTCCCCCCACCCCACCCGCATAACTTCACTAGAGGTGGGGAGGGGGGTGGATCTGCATGATCATGGGTTTTAGTCAAAAAACGGAGGGTCACAGTGTTGGGAAGAAATGGAAAGATGCATGACACTGTGTATAATAGATGTACGCTCAGGGGTCATTTCGTAGAAGTGCTGGAGCTCATTAGCATAACTCATTAGCATATGCCACACACCCTGACATCACCGGAAGTGTGTCAGAAGGCAACACCCACCGCTCAGGCTCCACTGGACTCTTTTGGATTGCTAGCCATTTGGGGGGGGGGGGCGGACACATTTGTCCTCGCCGAT